ACTCTGGACCCAGATATCTGCCTCTCTAATATAGTGCAAGAGAGAGATGACAGCTGTATGTGGTGGTCATGTAACATTACAAAAAATATTGGATACGGATACATGAGATATTGCAAAAAAATGTTAAATACAACTATTCCATTTGTACCAGAACTGTTTTTATTAAATATTATTCCAGAGAATTTTAAGAAACCAGATACATATATGATTGTACATGTAATAACTATAGCTAGAATTTTGTACGCAAAGTATTGGGGGGGGGGGAAAGTCCCATCTAAAGAAGAAATAATTTATAAATTATTGGAAACAGTGGAAATGGACAAAATAGCTTTACAATTACAAGATAAAAAAGAAGAAATCTTTGAGAAGAACTGGTTAAGACTCTACAGATGGATTGAGGATTATCTCACAAAATGTATAAAATAGTCAGGGGTCATTTCCTGCAGAAGCGCACAGGAGCGAAGTTCCGGCAGTAAAGAGCCCAGGGGGCGGGGACATGCAGCAAGCCCCACCCCCTGCTCCCAGCAGCCCCAGGCCACGAGGAGCAAGAAGCAGCCAGGTAAGTTGTAACTTCTAACACACTTCCGGTGATGTCAGGGGGTGTGGCATATGCAAATATGTTATGCTAATGAGTCATGCTAATGAGCTCCTGCACCTCTTTTTCTACAAAATGACCCCTGAAAATAGCATTTAAAATATAAGCTCTACTGTTAAAAAGTTAAACTGATCTAAGTGCATAACAGAAAGATTCTATCTATCTATGCAAATTTAAGTAGTTACAACGAGTACAGACGCCATATTTGTTGTATGTTAGTCTTTTCCTCTTTGTAGTTGTTGTTTTCTTTTCTTTCACTTTTGAAAAATTAATAAAACTCTTTTGGAAAAAAAGAGAGAGAGAGATGACAGCTGTAGTTTTTGGTAACAAGGGATTGCTTGTCAAGAATCTTGCATTTGCCATGACCCAGATAGCCCCGGCAAACTTGATCTCATCAGATCTTGGAAGCTAAGCAGGGTCAACCTTGGCAGTTACTTGGATGGGAGACCTCCTTGGAATACCAAGTTGGGAGTCAGTCACCAGTAGGTCAATGTGACTTCTAGGTGCAGAGTAGGTCAGTAGGGGTCAGTCACCAGTAGGTCAATGTGACTTCCAGGTGCAGAGTAGGTCAGTAGGGGTCAGTCAACAGAGGTCAATGTGACTTCCAGGTGCAGACGCACAAACACACAAATACCAAAAAACAACCCCCCCCCAAAAAAAAGAATCTTGCATTTGGCAGAAGAGGGGGTCTCCGAAGGGCGCATTGCATCTGTCACACTGAGATGGTCACCTGTGGAGTAGGTGGTGTCATATATTCTTAAGATACTACATGGGCAACTCATCAAGATGTAAAATATTTCCTTGGTGCACAGATCTTCTTAGGTCCAATCTGCAATGCTCAAGCGCCAATGGAGTGCCCGGCTACAACTTCGAGTGTACCTTTTTGCAGGTGAACATCTCAGTGTGAGTAAGGTCCATTCTGTGTATGATCAGCTTTATGTATCTCTTTAATTAACGGAGTTAATTATACCACTGAGGAAGTCTTATTGCCAAAACACGTTTGGTATTCGTTTTTGCCTATGGATATATTATGGACCTTTTAACCTGTATTTATACAATTGGACATTTGTTTTTATATTGGTGCCATATATTATATGCTTAATCACAGGATTGCTGTTTTTGAATGATATTTTAGCCCTCATGATTGTTTTATTAAATTAGATATTACATTCTGTATATTGGCACTTTGTGCACAGTTATATTTTACCTCTTCTTTGTTACCGCCACCCACTGTTTAAAACAGGCTGTCACGACTCAGGTGGGGTGTCACCTGACGCTGCCACCACTCTGGATTTAGGTTCCCTTGAGAAGGCCCAGAGTACCCTCCCAAGACCTTCAGACCTCCCTTTTGGCTAAATAATAGGCGTGAGGACCAGGCCGAGTGAAACAAAAAAAAAGGTTTATTTTATAGGAGGTCAAACAACAAGGTGCAGAATAATAACAGTAAGTGGGTGAAAAGAAAAAGAAATCAAATGCCCTAACGGGTCTAAATATACAATGTCCCTAGCTCACTATCTCAAGTGGCCTTACACTACTCACCCTGTCCTCAGGATGAGGGTCTCTCCCCTGCAGCAGCCTTCCTTTTGGCTCTGCCCTCTGGAAGAAAGAACAACTTTTCCTGCTGCTCCAGAACTTTTATTCCAAGCCCTCCTCTTTTCCTATTGATCCATTTTGGCTCCAAAACCTCCCAAGGGCTTCTGGGAGTTGTAGGCCCAGCCTCACCTACTGCTAGCCAGGCTCTCTGGGCCTAGTAGGCCTCTGGTAGCACAGCCCAGATCATGACACAGGCTTTTGAGCCAGTTGGATCTGCCACGTAGATTCAGTAAGGGCCCTTGTAACGATTCCTTGTTTTTGGTGTGTGTGTGTGTCTTTAAAAGTTTGGTTGCATGGCTGTGGTAAGTAGACTAGAGTGGTTGAGAGAAGTAAGTGTGGTATGATTGGTGGTTGACAGAGAGGGGGAGGGGTTTTGGAAGTGAAAATCAGTGGATGAGTATGTATGTCAGTCAGGTTTTACAGTTACAGGTTTGACAGTTGATAGGTGCAGTTAGTTCTGTGTGTGAGGGAAGTGAGAAGCAGTCCTGTGTGGAATAAGTTAGTTCAGTGAGAAACAAAAGGAAGGCTGAGAGAATAGGAAAAAATAAATGAAAGTTTAATTGGACAAGTTATAGGAAAGGCTGTATGTCCTGGAGAGAAACAGTGAACATATATGACCTTGAGTTAAAGTGTTACAAAGTTACCTGAAAGATCCCTGTCAGTAAGGGAGCAGATTATGCGTGATACACCAAGCAATTGTTCATTATTTACACATTACTAGATACATTGTTCTACCCTTTTATTTATGAATTATTTCAAAAAACCCTCTTTTATTTAAGTATACCAACTCTGAAAGAAATACTTCCTCAGGACCATATAGTTCCTCGTAAGCCTTGAACTCGGTCTACCTAACCAGTAAGAGCAGAAGTAAAAGTATAAAGGTTTGGAAATCCTTAAAATTTCCTGGTGGCAGCTGTAGATACCCAGATAAACAGAATAAAAAGAACACTTTTAAAGGGAAACCAGTCCTCCCCAATAAGGAGGGCGTCACAGACCTCTTTAAGCTGCGGTCACATGCGTTACCTGCGTGAAATAAATGGACCCGTCTAGACGAGAGCACTGCAGTCGTCAGAGCTGTTCCGCAGTGGAAATGGAATGAACAGATACCGGGGAAAGTCCAGAATTAACGGCTTGTTGGGGGTTCCCTCTGGGTTTTCCGACGTCTGAACTCTCCTGCAGCGAAAGGAACCCGGATGAGACGTCTGAACTTGCAGATCCGTTTCCCCCACTGGTTTTTTAAGTTGCTGCCTGTATGTGCATATGTGCATCCATCCGCTTGCATTTAAATAAAACCCACCCTTATGGCTTGTCCTGTGGTTAAGCGCAACATGGGACAGCCACACGGATAACCCACCACAGGCTACACTTTGAACCATTACAATTTGAGGCACCACCATAATGCACCACGCCATAAGAGTGACTATAGCCTTTGGGTTCTTTTGCGAGATTGAGCTTTGCCAAGGCCGGGAGGGTGGCCCAGTTGGGGGCAGATAATCCTCCACCCTGAAGACACAGGGAAGGATTGGGAGCAGTGTTCCCTCTAAGCTGAGTTAGTGTGAGCTAGCTCACAGTTTTTTGCCGCCAGCTCACACATTTTTGTCTTAGCTCAGGAAGGAGGGCTCCAGACCAAACTGATTTATGCAGTAGCCAAATCACTCGCTCACAACTTTAATGCCAGTAGCTGACAAAGTAGAATTTTTGGTCACAAGACTCCACAGCTTAGTGTCAAACATGCGGCCCAGGGGCCGGATCAAGCCCCCAGAGAGCTTCCATCAGGCCCGCAGTGGAACTGGCCATCTCCTGCTTCCAGTTCTGCTGCTGCTGCTGCATCATAACTTGCTTTGCCAGACTCTCTTAATCCTTCAGCCATTTCATGTTTTAACCTGGGTCCTAGACTCAGAACTCTGAGCATGAGATTTCTGTGGTGAATGTCAATAAATCAAAAGTAGGTTTGCAGCTTACAGAGCTAATGTTTTAAGCATGCTTTTATTTTAAGTTAAAATCTTTGTGTTTGTGTCCTTTATAAAGTTTATATCTCCGCTACCTGGCATTACATTTTATGACAGCATGGCCCGGGCCAAACAAGGTCTTCCGCCAGGCCTTTGAGTAGGAGCTGCTGCCCCACTATTCCACCATCGTCATGGTTCCTTAAAGGATGTACCGAGGCCCTGAGGAAGAACCTGGACAACCGTAAAGAAGATCCAATAAGCCGTGACCATTGGGCATAAATATCTTGGGAGTACCACCTGGAACTGTGTTGATACTATCCTGGAGGTATGAGATTAGTTATTGACTGAGCACCATTGTTTTAAGTGTTGGATGTTTTTATGTTTTATAGGTTTTTAATTATGGCATGGCTAATTACCCTGCCCTTGTTAGCCACCCTGAGCCCACTGGGGAGGGTGAGATATAAATGTGAAAAATAATAAATAAATAAATAAGGTCTCATTTATGTCAGATCCGGCCCTCGTAACAAATGTGTTCGACACCCTGTCTTAGAGGGAGTGAAGCCTGCGCGCGTGAAACTGACAACGCGGCTTTGACGTCCTGCAAAAGACGTTCTTTTTTGTTGTTGTTCTCACGCATGAGGTGTGTAACTTTTCCTGGCGGGCCCTCCCATTGGCGGAGGAGGCGACGCTCTCCCCGGAAAGGGCCAATGGGGGAGGGCTCGGCTCCGTTCGGAATCTCCCACGGCAAAGGCGAGGTTAACGAAGCGCTCGTAAAGGGAGGAGGGGAGGGGGGGCTCATTAGAATAACAATAAAAGGCGAGGGGCGGAGCCGCCTCGCGCCCGAAATCAAAGTTGCAGCAAGCGCGTCCGAGCGGCTTTGTGGCGCTGCGCGTAACAGGGGAGGGCTGCACGGACGGGGGACGCGTTGGGGAAGAGTTCGTGGGGACCCAGCCTACGGGGAACCTGGAGGGAGGCGTTCCCTGCCTACGGAGGACCTGGAGGGAGGCATCAATTCTTTTTTTTTTTTTAATCCCAATTGCCCCACCTTGCAAGAATTCCGGCGAAGTTGCGGCGAGGAGGAGAGTCGAGGCGGCTGGGTGGGTTGGAACGCTCGCGGCTCCCTTTCCCTCCGGATCCCCCAAGAAGCCCGGCTCGGTCGGTCCCGGGATCATCATGACGGAGATCACCGAGAAGGAGAACGAGCCCCAGCACGGCCCAGACGCCCAGCAGACCCCGGGCACCGGCTCCAGCCTGCAGGAGACGAAGGTAACCCAGCTCCGCATTGCCCACCCCGTGTTTTTCAGAGCGATGGCGTGTGCGGGAGAATTGCCTGGACACGGGGGGCTGCTGCTGCTGCTGCAGCTGGGGGGACCTCGCCGTGCCTCGGGGCTGCTGGAGGGAGCTGGGGACCCTCTTCCCCCCCGCCCCCCTTCCTTTGCAAAGCCCGCATCTCCCACTCCGCGCCCTCCCGGCTGCTTCGGTTGGTCTGCAAACGAGGCTCCGACCCGCAGACTCGTGCGGGGCGGCGGCGGCGGCTCCCGGCTCTCTTCTTCCCAGCGCGCAAACCAGTGTGCGTCCATCCGGGGGCCATCGCTCGCTCCCGGGGATCTCGGGGCGGCCGCCGCTCCTCTTTCCCCCTGCGGTGCTCCTTCTCCCCGCATAGGGCACTGTGGGCGCGGGGATCGGGGCCGGAGGGGGGGTGGCTATGGCCTGGGGCATCGCGCCGGCGGGAGCGTCCCGATCTGGGCTGTTGCACTGGCCTCGGGTCCCTTTCTGTCCTCGATGACTCCGGCGTCGTTCCCACGTCCCCGTGTTTCTGCACGCACTCTGCATTTACGGTAGCAAAGGCGGGGGGAGCGCATTGCATCCTCCCTGCTGCCCCGCCTGGGATCCGAACCCTCCTCCCTGTGCTCGCGGAGCAGAGATCCCGCTGCGAAAGGAAATGGAGGTCTTTCCAAATTGCGCCCCCCCCCCCCACCCTCCGCGCCTT